AAGTAGGTTTGCCTTTTCCCATAGAAAAAGAGCAGTATTTTGGATTTCTCTCACGATTGGTTTGGGCTATGGAAAATCCATGGTCACCGTTAGATAGAGCTCATCGAGTTGTACTTGGAACCGGACTGGAACACCTGGAACAGGTTCCTGGACGAATATGGGAAGGTTTTACTCGAATATGGTGCTAACTTCAACTACGTTATTCATACGCAACAAAATAATAATAATAAATACTGCGGTGTTTCGAGTCTATCCCATTTTTTATACGGAAATCTTTCCAGGAAGTATATAAGCAAGTCTCGGTGGTCTAATGGTGAAGACATACGACTGAAGTTCGTATAATCCAAATTCGATTCTTGGCTGAGACACTTGACCTTTTTTTTAATTATTACGAAAAAGTATCATTGCATCATTACATATTTATATGGTGTCACACTTGACCCAGGTCCAAAAATCCGACGACGGATCCGATCGGAATCCGGGTTGCAGAATTCCGATCGGATCTTATAATCGGATACTCATACGTTTCCGATAATTTCCGATTGTTGAAATTCCCCTTATTCCGACTGTCGGATTCCGATCGGATTTCTATAGGATTCTATTAATCTTTGAATCCCCAGGTCCAAAAATCCGACGACGGATCCGATCGGACCCGAAAACCGACAAAAATCCGATCGGAATTCGGGTTGCCGAATTCCGATCGGATCTTACACTCGGATACTCATACGTTTCCGATAATTTCCGATTGTTGAAATCCCCCTTTATTCCGACTGTCGGTTTCCGATCGGATTTCTATAGGATTCTATCAATCTTTGAATCTGTGATCGATCTTATGTATTCTGATAATGTTTGGAATCTAAATTTTATCGTAGGTGTGCCGGAAGGGCCGTATGAAGTGAGCCAAAGTTGGCGTGAGCTAAAGTGGAGTCCATTAGTCCATACTATACCCACTGTAGATATATAGTACTCTAACACCGGAAGTATCTTTCCCACAACAGAACAATACTACTCATAACTCAGAAGTGCTATTCCCAAAGCAGAACAAAAGTATTCGCTACCCGGGAGTATCATTGTTCTGTTTTGGGAATAGAATTTACGAATACTGAGTACCGTTATTCCGTTATGGAAATAACACTTCCGGGTAGATGAGTACGTTTCTTCCGTGTTGGGAATGACACTTCCAGGTTATGAGTATTATTGTACTGTTTTGGAAAAACGGTTGGATGACGGTAAAGTAACGGCTCGCATTTTGATTGATCCATTTTCCCTATATGAAGTGAACCACAATTTTCTGGTAAGCATGTTTGGCTCACTTCACACGACCGCCGAAACATGACTGGGTGTAGTCTTTATAAAAAGAAAAAAAACGTCCTCCTGAAATCTGATTGGTCAATAAATGGACCAATCAGATTCGGAGATTCTAGTTCTCAGCTATAGATAAGGAGGCGCCCCATACATATACTCCTCATTCGATAGAGCGTCCTCGATAACCATAAGATCGGCCCGAACATGACTAGGTGTTGTCCTTACAATAAGCAAGAAAAGTCCTCCTGAAATCTGATTGATCCATTTATTGACCAATCAGATTGGGAGATTCCAGTTCTCAGCTATTGATAAGGAGGGGCCCCATACATATACCCCTCATTTGATAGAGCGTCCTCGATAACCATAGGGTCGGCCCGAACATGACTAGGTGTTGTCCTTATAATAAGCGAGAAAAGTCCTCATGAAATCTGGATCCGGCCGGATCTGCAGGCCAGAAACATCGTCCTGGGATGATTTTGTGTATTGAAGATTGTTATCTTGCATTTGCGTGCATTATTTATTGTGTGTTCAGAGGTTTTGATGGTCTTGAATATGGTATTTGATGGGTTATCAACAGTGGGAACCGATCGGATTGCGTTACTAAGGTTAATGTCGGTTGCCGAAAGTGGTTTCCGATCGGTTCCTTTCCGATAGCTTCCGATCGGATGTCGACAGTAGGATCCGATAGGACTGCCGATACCAGGGATTCCGTCACATTTCCGCAATCGGTTTTCCGGGTAAATCCGATAGGATCCGGCCGAATTTCGTAGGAATCCGATAGGATCCGAGACGGAGCCTATCGGATCCTACTATCAGATTGCTCGACCTGGGGAGATGAGAATGATGCAATACAATACATTTCGACACGAGTGCAATCTCATGCTAATCATCTTCGTGATGATGTGGAATATTTTTTTTATCTGCATTTTATAAAGATATTGAAATTGAAATGTATAATAAATTAAGAAAAGAATAAAAGGTATTAGATGTTTCAATGGCTAGAGAGGTGATGCCGGTTGAATCGTCATTTCACTGTTACTTTGTGTCGCATTCAGTTCTGCTAATGTAGCAAATTTTGTTTTCTTATTAATCAAGTGAATCAATGAATTGGTATTGGCTAGAAGTAATCCTTTAGTCTGAAGATCTTCTAATACCTCATCGTTGTTTGTTGCATCAAGCCAATTTTGTAATATTTCAGGAACAATAGCCAAAATAAGTGAACATAATCGATCTATTGTAATTATAATCGGTATTCCAATAGAACCTAATATATTTTTTGGGAGACGAGATATATTTATATTCCATACAAAACCCAATAGAACCATGGAAAAAAGATACGCCCATAAGATAATGTAATGAAGATATATCCAACAACGCAAGATGTATCGTTTTCCTCGAAAGTAGCAACACAACATTCTTGGTTGATCATCGTCACGAAATAATATCCATCGAATAAAACAAACTATCTTGACGACAAAATAACAAAGAGCGTAATGCCACGTGACCACAGATGTAACCATTGTGATAATATTATTCATCTCAAAATAATAATAACTACATTTCGGAAAACTTTCACTTGTATCATTTAATGCACATGGATCACGATTATTTTCACATTCAAGCACTTGATACGGTTGACGAAATAACATACAATCATTGACAGAGTCAGTCCGTCGAATAAATAAAGTTCTTGTCACAATCATCATCAATACATGAATATGAATGGCAATGATTAAGAGAATTATTCGATTAGGATTAGGAATGTGAGAGAAACGTTGATCATATCGATAACAAGCGATGAGTTGATGATGAAAACAAACTTGATTCGATTCAAGTTTTCCATCAGAATAAGCTTTAGTAATAAACGTTAATGCACGATCAATATATTTAATGTTCCAAAATGTTTGTATGACACTTAGAAGAAGGACAATAGCATAAATAATAAGAACAATTCTGTCCTTCACTGATTCGATGGTTTCAATAGTTGAGTTGAAGATATATGATTCCAAATTAACACTATAATTTGATGTTGATGCGGACACACCAAGAGATCCCATCAAAATCAACTCAAGCTTCGTCTAAAACCGACATAGAAGTTAGTATTAATGTGTGTATAGTAACTGCAATTTTTTGCTTTGATGAAATGGTAGAAGCTTGGTAAAAATAAATAATATTACAAGGACTATTAATACAGCTCCCGTGCGCACTTATTTACAAATACTGACTGATTTACCTACAACAGTATCCATGCCGTTCGCTTATACATGATTAGTTCGTGTTGAAGCAGTATTAATAGGATTTTCGATGTTTCTTTTTTACTGTGATTTATTTTCACTAAATTTCTGCATGTCTATTTCATGTAGACCATTCGTTTAACATGTACAAAGAAAAATATTTTTTTATTTCTACTCTGAGTGATATGGTGATATGAGAGCTGTTATGTACTATTTGATGCCCTAATAATTCTCTTTGCTCTCTTATTCTTAGACGATTAAGCGAAGAAAAACTAAAATATACCTCTAATGTAATAATAAGCTGTTCTCACGAAATGCATGTTTTTATTCTTCAAAGCTTCGTTAACGATCATTTTTAATATTTAATTGTAATATTTACTGTTTTTCTATTTTTTCCATACATTTAGGGATTTGGTGAACTTACATCACATACTGACTAAATTTGATAACTGATATGAGCACGACTAAACTTTTAATGAAAGCATATTCTATATATAATTTTTTTGCATGTGAAGTGCAATAGTAATTGAAAGAGTTCTGAAAGAACCATGACAGAATAAAACATATGATGTTTGAAGATATGTAAAAATAATTTCTGTGTATACAAAATAACAAGTAGGTAATCGCTAGTAAACATCTTGAAGCAACATATTATATCATACGGTTTCTCACGTTCAAAATATATTCGATCGCGTCATCTAAGCCTTTCTGTACACTGAATGGTTGAAATATCTACACCAATTGAAGTTTTTTTTTTACTTTTTCTTATCAATAAGCTAAGCGTATATATTCAGAATAATAAAAAAAGTAAAAAAAAAGAAGGTACATGCATGATTTTCTTCATGCATTGTTGTTTGTAGATTCTAATGAATTCGAAAAATTTGAAAACTATGGACATATCAATATTACCGATAAAGAATATGATCTTCTTGATCTTTGTCGAATAGCAATTGATCAATCAAATATCTTATTATGGTCTAATTTTCATGAAACTCATCGAATGACTAGTCATCATATTTGGCCTCCAAATCATAAATTAATAATGGAATGTATAATTGATGCACATATTGTAGCTATATATTACGATACATATGAAACAAATTCACAAAGACAAGTTGAAGAATATGAGAATGATAATACAACATATTGTCTCATTAGTCAATTAGGAAATCATCCTACAGATGTCAAATTTGTACGTGGTACTAAAGCTTTACGAGAAGAAATTTTACAAAGATTTCAACATCCATTTCAAATAAGTTCGACACCGACACAAGAACAGATCGATTTATTTCGTCAAAAAAGTCAAACATTACCGTTACAAGAATTTTGTGCATATGCAACAAGTAAAAATTGGTATCAAATCGATGATCATTCATTGTATGGCGTACTTGTGGATTTTATTATTGCTAGAAAACCTTTGTCATCTAACGAATAATACCACCTTTCAATCATTTGTCAATCAAAAGTGATAGAAAAACCAGCACAATGTAATAAGAAAAATATGTCAAAAGAATTTATATTAAAGTATCTATGAATATAATAGATTTTATGATGAATTGAGCTTAAGTAATGGAAATTTTGATTGTGTTTCTCTCAATTGAATAATATACAAACCATGTCCTTGATCAAGACATCCAACAACTTCAAATTGACGACCAGGAAGAAGTAAAACTTCATCTTCTTCTGGATAAAATGAATGTGAACGAATATTTTTGCTCGAAAAACATTCAATACTGAACAGAGTTCTAACTCCAGTTTTTCCTAAAAAGCGTTCATTGTTGAGAATCTCAATTGATACAATACATGAAGAAAAAGCCCACCAAACAATTGTGTTCCCTCGACGATATTCATCAGCCAAATCCAATTTGGCACCTCGATAAATAATATGATGAGTTACAGGAAGTTTTTCAAAGGCATGTAGAACGAGTCGAAGATATAAAAACCATGGTTTTAGATCTTCACGATTGAGTGCTCGTAGAGCAGTATTTAGTATAACATAGAAAGATTTCTGATATGGTTGCCATTCCATTGTGTACAGCATGATACAAGCAGATTCATTCTTATTTAAACCATCTTTTAGATGAGTGCGGTTCTGTTTAACGATCCAAACCATTTGTTCAATATCTGGGACAAAGAAGGTAAGAGGAGTAATAGCCTCTTCAAGAGTAACAAGAGGCATATCTTCAAAGCCTTGAATTGGTAGAAGTATTCGTGGTGATTCTTCAGCAATATCTGAGAATCGATGAGTGTGCTTTTGAAACAGCACATTGCTCGAAGTCGGACCTTAAATGGAAAAATACGTTTGAACAACACTCAAATTCAAAGAAGTCATCAACGTTTGTCTAAATAACTCTATCAATTACTACACACTTAGAACGTATTTTAAAAGAATAATCAAACGATATTCCCACGTTTTTCCAATCTTTCTCTACAACTATATGCAATCGTTGAAATTGCCATTATTACTCATTCGCGCACTTTCGAAAGTAACTAACAATTATAGAATCAAAAAAGCAATAGATTCTTTGAATATCTGTTAAATATTTTCCTGTGAAATATCTCAAAATTGATTATAAATAATCACTAGGAGAATCTTATAGAACTAAACTTCTTAACGCAATAATATAATTTACCATAGGTAGTTGGTAAGGATGATTTTGATATTGATAATGTTTTTGAGAAAGATGCAGAAAGTATATTCGAAATTGATGTCGATGCATTCTTACAGGATGGAGAAGCTTTTAATTTTATAAGAGATCCATTCGGATTTGCGAAAGAGTCATGATTAATTGAACTGTATGAGTAAACAGGTGGCGATTGACTAAAGGATTGAGACATTTTTTCAAGCAAAGTAGTTAAATTACTAGAAGACTAAATGAAACGAATACTAATAACATATGATATATAACGATGGTTTACCTATTTCCATGAACTAAGATAAGGTAAAATGACACGTCCATCTTGATTTACATTATGTTGCATTGAAGAAATGCACATATTTGATGTCGGTTTTACATAAGCCAATGGTGCTTCGAAAGGATGTTCCTTCTGTAACCATATTTCGACGGAAATATCGTATTGACCCCCCTTATAATGAGTGACAATAGTGCCATGTAAACAGAGTAATTCTTGGACAGTGCCATCATCAGAAAAATGAGATGCACACTTTAACATCAAATTACTCATCGATGATTGAATCGCTTGTGTTAAGTCTTTTCTAACTAAATCTTCATGACAAATCTTAACATTAATTAATTCTCTTTCCTTTCTATTTTCAAAAGTATCTGAATTACTTGTGAATGATGAATGATATTGTTAATATCATCTACATTCAGTTTCTTCATCATAAAGGGTGTAAAATAAGTTCTGATTCCCTGCATGTAATATGCTTTTCCTATATGTTTTTTCAGTAGAATAGGCTGATATTTACAGTATATATACTAGACATCTGAATCTATTCTACATTAAAATTTCAGCTTTCCATTCATTATAATTATGGAGATACAATATGACATAAAAATTAATGAGAATTTTTGATTTATACAGGATGGGTAGTTAACCGAAGAAAAAATTAAATATCTCCATTAGGACTTGAGTAAATGAGCTAATTTTTTTATCATTGATAGAAGCATGTTCAAGCTTTATATCCAAAGAACCATGTCTAGAGAGATTCTTTATTAAGTATCACTATTGATTTCAACAAGAAGAATTTTATTTTTTCACAGATAAGAAAGAAAAACAAAGGATTTGTCTAAACATGTCTTTATGGATGTAATGCTTGAACATGCCTCTATCAATGATTAAAAAATCAGCTCGTTTGCTCGAGCCCTAATGGAGATATTCAATTTTTTTTCCCGTAAAGTGACCTTTGTGCCAGCCTGTATATTGTTTTTCTTTCCTATCTGTGAAAAGTAAAATTCTTCTTGTTGAAATGAATACTGATACTTAATAAAGAATTTCTCTAGACATGGTTTTATGGATATAAAGCTTGAACATGCTTCTATCAATGATAAAAAAATTAGCTCATTTACTCGAGTTCTAATGGAGATATTCAATTTTTTCTTCGGTTAACTACCCATCCTGTATAAATCAAAAATTCTCATTAATTTTTATATCATATTGTATCTCCATAATTATAATGAATGGAAAGCTGAAATTTTAATGTAGAATAGATTTAGATGTCTAGTATATATACTGTAAATATCAGCCTATTCTACTGAAAAAACATATGGGAAAAGCATATTACATGCAGGGAATCAGAACTTATTTTACACCTTTTATATGTCGATGCCATCGATAGAAAACGAACAATAGTAATAGTCTGAAAAATGAGCAACGATAAAAATTAGGCAAAACAAATTGTTCCCTTTATTTTGTTTGGAGAATCGTTTTTACTTATGGGAAACGCATATTTATCCTTTCGTAATGACTAATATCAGCTAATAATTAAATATATTTTATAAGAAAAATAAATATCGTTCTTCATGGCTTCAAAATAATCAGTAAAAGTAACAAAATCATTGTGAAATTAAATTATCTACATATAAACAAAATTTGTAAACTTATTCCAAAAGCGTCTGAAGTTGTTTTTGAGAAAAATAGAATTATCACTAAACAAAAAACGAAAGAATATAGATATATAAATTTATTACTCGTTTTCCACATGTGTTCGTCCATGTATCGTGTTTCTATTCTATTCAGATGTAAATCATTAGTCAAAAGGTTCAGGAAAAAAAAGACATGATGAAGAAAAATTTAAAAAAAAAGCGTATTCAAATAACACGTCTAGTTATACATCATGGCTCATGTCCATGATCAGCAGCAAAGATGTCGAGAAGAATTTTTTTTTCTCTTTTTCTCATCGAGACATTGCCCACTTATAAAAAAATAATTATTATTCTTTTTTCTTTCAAATTAGAAAATAAAAACTTCTAATGGACTTTATCAAAATAAACTGAAAGACAAAGAAATTGAACGCATATGGTGTAGCAAGAAACACTTATTATCAAACATCCGCCTAAAGGGATCTATGTCATAAATAGTGTCGTTCGAAATCATCAAGGTTTTCCATCAATAAGAGATCGAAACATTTTTATTATTCATCATTCTTACTGATATAATATCATACTAAATCACCGCTCCTGTTCAAAATAAATGTTAATTTACTTTTGTTTAATTAAGAAAAAATTCTTTTACATGGAAGCTTCATTTTATCAAATATTTTCTTGGTATGGTTGTTAGATCACTTTAATAAATCTATTCTAATCAATATTAAAAGGAATATTTAATCTTGCATTCAATGATGATATGTTTGTTCATTGTGACAGTTTCATTTTTTCTTGTAATAGACTAAACTCGCACAAAATGTTACTCGTTCTTATTTGATAAAAAGAACCAATTCATAATCTATATGCAATTTAAGATTTAAAAACAAGGTAAATATCATCTTTAAAAAGTAATCATTACTCATATCAAAATTTTTCTTCTATTTGTTGGTAAAAAAATGATATGTTAATATTGACAATGAATATTGGAGAATTTTCCCCAATGCATGGTAATCGTTTCAATCCAAATTACACAATATCATATTTCGTTTCTTCTCCTTCCTCCATATAAACTAAAAACATAAGCGATACTGATTTTTTTTTAATTCTAAAACGTAAGCACCGAGACAACTAAAATCATCTGAATTTTTTTTTTCAGTGCAACTTATTATGGCTACTAAAAGAATATCAAAGCTTGGAGATTTACCTAATGAAATATTGTGGAAAATTTTTCAATGTATCGATGGTTATACATTATTGAAGACGTTTTATTTCTCTGATAATTCTCGTTTTAAATCTTTGGTGCACGGTGCCACTGAATTAACAATGGAATTCGCTTCTGAAACTAGTCAATCTGTTTGCCGACCAGATAATAATGATGAAAGTATTTGGCAACAACTAATTGAAATACTTCGTCCTCCTCAAATTCGTGTTTTAATTCTCGATATGAGGTTAAAGTTTGAACAGGATCCGAATGATCCGTTCGAGTACTTTCTATCCGCCGATGAACGTACTTCACCGCTGGTTGGATATCTTGAGCGCTGGCCAAGCCGCTATTTTACAGCTCTCAGAGTTATCAAAATTCATCAAGGTGATACTTTGAAAATCCTTCGAAAATTGCCTGTCAAACAACTAGAATATCTTAAATTATGTCACACCGCGTCCTGTAGTAATTGTCAATCTGTATTCAATATTATCTTTGAATCTAATCCGACCGATTTAGTGTATTGTAAACTTGTTAGAGACGGTCCGATCAGACCTTACTGTTTGTTTGTACTACCGAAGCTTCGCTATCTAGATTTAGGCCAATGTGAATGGAGTCCTGAGACAGAAAGATTTCTCATGACCAAAATGCCAAATCTTCGTTCTCTTTCTCTGGCTCTTTTCGAACATTTGAGAAGAGATCGCTATTCGTTAAATATTGCATCGAATTTTCAAATGATCGGAATTCATTCACTTGAACTTATCATAAAATATATTGAGAATGGTTCAATCGTCCGTTTTATTGCGAGATTTCCAAATTTACGACGCTTACGAGTGGAATACGACGACCGATACTTAGCTGATCACCAACGATCTTCACCAGATATTCAGCAATAGAAATATTTATTGAAAAACTATTTGCGTCATCTTCGTCAGTTTGTAATTGAATACAGTGATCGTCGATTTCACGATGAAGACTTACGATATACACTCAAAACCAATTTTTGGTTAGAGAAACAAACACAAACAGATATTGTCAACAATGACGGTTTTGTACCGCGTACGCGAAAAATTTGGTTTGGCGATAAATGGAAATTTCCGTAATTATTCATTATAACCAATGTATGAACTATATATATATTAATCAAGAAAGAAAAATAAAACCGATACTTTCTTTAAAGTTCACATTTCTGTAATATTACTGACCATGCGTTTCACTTGCACTTGAACTGAATAAAATATATTTGATAAATATCTCCCATACAATTTAGAGTTAGATGGA